TGGAAGCTTTACGTTGCAGTAGGCTGTTGAGGGTGGAAGGGAGTGACCAATTTTCCTTGTGGTGTTCTTACAACTGATTGATGCTGTGTCACGGTTCGGGGTCATTTTGACCCAGCATTTTCAGTTTCTTATATTCCTTTGTATTATGGTTTGTATTCTGATGCTTTTGTTATGCTTTGTTGTTTATTATTATAATCCTATCTTTCAGTTTATTCTGGTTTGGGGTTTAGCTCTTATGTTTTGTTCTTATGCCCCCATGTTTAGTTTAGGTTTAGTCCGGTGCTTAGTCTTTTCTGCCTGTGTTCCCTCTGTGTAAAGTCAGTGTTTCCTAGTCCGCATCTTTGTGAATTGTTTCCTGTTTTATTTTGAAGGGTTATGTCTTGTGTCAGTGTTTCTAGCTTTGTTCCCCTTGTCTCGTTAGCCCTAATCCCTTCCAAAACAAAAGGATGCAAGGACACTGGACAAACTAGAAAGCTGGCTTTGTAATTGGAGCCAGACTGAACCCACTGGGGAAGGTGGTGGAAAGACGCACACTAAAGATTTAAGAAGCAATCCTGAACAACTCCACTTTATGACATCTTTATAACATCAGCGATCAAGCTTTTCAATTCTGATACAAGAGCAGATGAGCAGACATGTGACGTTTCCTCTGAGCAATAGTTTTTTAATTATTATTATTATTATCATGGGGCGATCGTGGCTCAAGAGTTGGGAGTTCGCCTTGTAATTGGAAGGTTGCCGGTTCGAGCCCCGGCTTGGACGGTCTCGGTTGTTGTGTCCTTGGGCAAGACACTTCACCCGTTGCCTACTGGTGGTGGTCAGAGGGCCCGGTGGCGCCAGTGTTCGGCAGCCTCGCCTCTGTCAGTGCGCCCCAGGGTGGCTGTGGCTACAATGTAGCTGCCATCACCAGTGTGTGAATGTGTGCGTGAATGGGTGGATGACTGGATATGTAAAGCACTTTGGGGTCCTTAGGGACTAGTAAAGCGCTATATAAATACAGGCCATTTACCATTTACCATTATTATCTGAGATGTAAAATTCCTCTACCACCAAATCCCAAAGGTTTTATTTTTAATTTATATCTGGTGTCTATGGAGACCAATTCAATACAGTTAATTGTCATATTAAAGAAACTAGTGTGAGCTGATATGAGCCTGAGAGACATCATCACAATATTCAAGTAGGCCATGGTGTTCAAATGTTCATTTCTGTATTCTGTAACTTTGTGCGACTAAAATCCCAGTAAATCAGCAGTTTCTCAAAAGGTCAGAAAAAAACCCCTCCAATCCTAGTAAACCTTCTACATTCAGAGTCACTTAAATCACTTGTCGTGCCAATTCTGATACTCTGACCTGACCATGTACCTTCACCTAAATGCATTTTGTTGCTGCTGTGTTATTGGTTGATTAGATATTTGCATTAATAAGCAGCTGAGAATGTGTGAAGAAGTGGCTGATAAGTGTTTATATAACTACCATAACTGTGGCATAAAGAATTGCCATCTAATGAAATTTGTTCCTTGAAGCTGAAGTGAACATTGTATGTTATTGTAGCACCCCAACCGTTATACTGAATCTAAACCCACTTACCTCAGTTTGTACCCCCTAGTTGGGGTATGAGGTTCGTTGTAACCAAGATACCACAAATGGTTCTGGTATAGACAGGAATCAGGGAAACTAACAGTAAACCCCTTGCCTGCAGGTTAGACTTAACCAGTAGTAAAAGAAACGACCCCAGGCAACTCTGTAACACAAAACGGAACGTTTACTGAACATAAAGGCAGGAAAAATGTACAACACGTGCCGTTTTTACCTCAAATGATATTCCAGTTCCTTAAACAAATTAAATATAATTTGTAAATAAAATGATTCCCTTTTGTCACATGGAGTCACACAAACCACCTGCAACTCAACACCTCAAAGACTAAGGAACTGGTTCTGGACTTCGGGAGGTCCAGAGAAGGTCCACTGGCAGTTCAGATAGAGGGAGAGGAGGTGGATGTGGTCAACACATACAAGTACCTCGGGCTGTGGGTGGACAACAAACTGGACTGGTCATGCAACACGCAGCACCTGTGTAATAAAGCCCAAAGCCGACTGTACTTCCTCAGGAGGCTGAGGTCTTTCAACATCTGCAGGAAGCTCCTGAGGATGTTTTACCCGTCGGTGGTTGCACGAGTCCTTTTCTATGGTGTGGTGTGCTGGGGGAGCAGCACAGCAAAGAAGGACTCATCCAGGCTGGAGAAACTGATCAGGAAGGCTGGCTCTGTGGTCGGCATGAAGCTGGACACTCTGGTGACAGTGGCAGAGAAAAGGACACTAAAGAAACTGCTGGACATTATGAACAATACTGGGCATCCTCTGCACACGGTCGTAAACAGTCAGACGAACCTATTCAACGACAGCTTGCTTTTCCCAAAGTCAAAAACCAACAGACTTAAAAACTCCTTTGTCCCACACGCCATCAGACTGTTTAACTCCTCACTGCAGGGAAGGGGGAGGAGGAACAGGGGGACATGGGAGGGCGGGAACAACTAATCTGTAGTGCTTTTTTTACACTGTCCAATATTTGCAATGTTTGTTTTTTTCTTATATTTGACTGTGCAATAATCATTGTGCAACATAGTCACTCAAATGTGCAATCCTATTTATCCATGTTGTATATTCTGTATTAATATATGTGTGTATATATGGTGTATTTATGCTTATATCCTTACTCTCATTCCCCTTATTGTATGTGTAACATGTAACTTCTGTCGGTGCTGTGGAAACTGAATTTGCCAGAGGAACCCACCCAAGGGATTAATAAAGTTTCATCTCATCTAATCTAATCTAATCTAATCTTAAACAACTCAAACTCAAGTTATCACCTCATGTCACTCATGGGCCCTACACACACTCACATTCACATTTGTTACCGGCCTGTTTTTCGCTGTGTGCTGGCTGAACACCTCTTCTCCCCGGTAAGAGCCCAAACAGTCTGACTTGCAGTTCAGTTGCTTCATAAATTGCTGTTCACAAGTCGTAAACTGAATCAATTCTCAGCTCCCTGAAGACACCACGCTGCCTCTGCTACAGCATGTTAGCCAGTCACTGTACAGCTTTCCGACAAAGAAAATCTGGCTTCAGATCAATGATGAAGCAGCATTACAATGAAAGAAACAAGGAAGCAGTGTGGACTTTTGTCTTTCAGCAAGAATTCATACTTAATCACTGCAGGTTTTGGACTTTTGATCACACATACTGATGCATGGCAATATAACACAAGATAAATCACTGAAATGCAACAAATTAAGGTTCTATAAACAGCTTGGAGTTTTATACACTGGTGTTCCCTGTAAACACCAGTGTATAACATGTAGGTTTTTGATATGAGTCTTGTATTCTGTAAGCAATTAGTAAAGTACATAAAATATTTGTTTTCTGTATTTATTAATTGAAGCATTTAAAATGCAGTGAGAGGCATTTCAGTACATAGAAAATCATAGGTCACAACAAACACACTACAAAGTTCTTTTATAGACAAGTAGAAATATTGCGATGACTTTGCAGATGTTTTTCAGAATTATGATGGGGTTTTTTTTTAAATTGTACTTACACAGATGACTTTTTTATATCATAACATTTTTATTTAAAATATATTTTAATTTCTTAAAACAGTCACATCACATGATGCATGTGCTTTTAGAAGCTTAAAAAGCTTGCAAAACAATTCATTGAGTACCTACATGAAGCATGATAGGATATCAGCCATTTAGCTTTCATTGTTCTATTTGTCATCAGTAGCTGAATCATTTATAGCTGGGCAACCATTAGTTAGCTGTAGCTCTGATTTTCCCAAAGTGATGAAGTCCCACCAAAAGCAGCAGCAGAGCCACCACCATCATGATAGTGAAGACAGTTCGTAAGACGAGGTTAATATGACAACCGTGGTCTCTCTGGGACTCTGTGTGATGGGATGCAGAGATGATAGAAGACAGTGAGACAAAGTGGATTTTCAGTGTATTGAATGTTTACTGTCTGCATACATTTTGCAGACAGTTATTGTTATTTTTTAATTAAAGGAAGTTACTTTAGTTTTGTTACATGAATAAAAATGAGTGATTACAAATTAAAGTTTGACATCATCAAACTTTAAACCAACCTTTTCACTCGTGGTGAAAAAAAATTGTGTAACTGAAAACAATTCAGTGTAGGTAAATTAACTTTGACATGTGACAATAACACCATTATTGTTTCACCATGAGGTTGTCTGACAGCATCTAAAAATCCAGAAGTTTTATTGTGTTGAGGCAATTGCTGTGTCGTGTGGACATTAACCATCGCTGTTTCTCACCTTTGACACTTAGCCAGCTCGCTATAGATTCTGCACCTCCTGAGATGCTGCACTTGTAAAGTCCTTCATCCAACTTGGAAACTCTTTGGATAGTCATGTTTCCTGTGGAGCTGCTCTTAACATGAACTCCACCTTTGTAAAAATGAAAGGTGAAGTTGGAGGAAACTATTTTGTTTCTGCAGCGAAGAGTCACATGTAGCACTTACGTGGAGTTACATAAAGTACCGATGGATTATTACCAAAGTAATAAGCAATTTGGGCTAGTGTCAGAAGACTGAGAACGACTCTTAGAGCTCTGGTACACGAATGGCAGAGAAACCAGACAAACACAGTTATGTGGCTTTAAAAGTACTTTAGTGATGTTAAGCCTTGCAAAAGAAATTTGTAAACAACACAGTATTACAACAGGTTTTAACAGAATGTCAAGTATAAAAATTTCCCCCAAAGTAGCAAAAAAAATTAGAATTAAATAAAATTGTGCACAAGTAAAAGAATTAGTCTTTTTTAAGTCCAAATGGTACCGGTGGGGCCCATAGAATTCGTCTGACAAGGAGTGTGTGTGTGATTGTCTGTCCTACCGTACTACTTGTACAGTAGAGGATTGTAGTCCATCAATGTGCAAATGAGTGTGCGTGTACATGTATATCGTCTCCTAGGACCTTGGGTTGGCTCGCCATCCAGTGAACACTGGAACACTCTGGGTTCTGGAATCGCTGACCTGGTCTTTGGATTCGTCCCATATAAAAACCTGACCTATAAACAATGGCCAAATATATGTCACGTGCCCTTTAAGGATAACTCTCACAAATTAAACTAAAGTAGTGTCACAGTGCAGTAACTACTATTCAGATCAGCTATCATCAATTCAATCATCATCAGTTCAGTCATGTTGTACAACATTAAAATATCAAGTTTCAAAGGTCAAAGTATCAATATCCAAAATTTCACAGTATCAAGGTTCAATTATTTGTAACCTGCAGTAACATTAAAGATTATCTACAAGGTTTTAAACATTCAGGAATTATAGTCACCATATAATTCACTTTCATTGTAAACATTAATTACATCGATCAAAATAAACTCACTGTACATATATATCTAATCACAAATAAATAAGTATATTACCCCTTTTAAGAAATGGAATAATATGCAAATGCTTATCAGAAATTGAACAAAGTGCAAATAATCAATTTCAATAACACGTAAACACAAGGACTCAGTCCACAAATAGGAGTATTAAAATAGACGTGCTTAATCCCGCTTGTACCATAGGCCTACCAGTACAAGTGGAAATACACTAAAAATTACCTCCAAGTGTTCAATACTGAGTATTGTAAAACAACTGATTGACATCAAAATTTAAACAGGAAGCAGGATAAAGTCTGATTACAATTATCTCTCATAAAGTTATTTTTAGCTGCTTTAACCATTTACAGCTTTTCACATGTTAATGACTTAGTTAACGATCTAACTAGCATAACAACAGCGTTTCAGAGACATCGAACAACTGTACCCACACTCCGCACATCACGTGTCTGATTAGCCACATTTAGCTTACCGCCGTCGAGTGGATGCTCAGCATTTACATGGAGCCACAGCTCAGTAAACCCTCCGGTTTCGCTCTGTCCGATAACAAAAGTGCAAATACATAATTTGTGAAAAATATCAGTTTAGATGGTATTTCTTTTAACTCGTTAGAGGTTAATTTCTCCAGCTTACCGATAACAAAAGTTTTAGTCCGTCTGCTCTGTTCGGCTGTAGAAGCAAGAGACTGAAAACTTGGGAGCTGGTACTAAGGAGGGACAAGAGCTGCCTAGAGCTTCACCGATTGGCTGACATGTGAGGAGTGGAGTAAAACAATAGGCTCTCATCAGAGCTCATCAACCCTCTGAGAAACTTAACCCTTGTTTGACCAGAGCATATCATATATAATCTGCATCCCTTCTATGTTTAAATAATTATTTTGATCTCATTTCACTTTCATTAACCGGGACAGTAAGAACAGAACAATGAACATTAAATGTTTTAATTTTTCTTCTCTTTTTGTTTGAGATGATTTTAGGAACTGGGTTACACCCTCCCCTCTTGAATTCATGCAAGTCCCTTTGCATGTCTACTGTGAACTGCATCATCCAAGAACAATAATTCAGCTTTAGAATTTAAAGAGTCAATGAAAGCTGTGGTTAAACCCTGAAATAATGATTTGACCACAGTGACAAGGGGATTTCCCAATTCAGCATAGTCTAGCCTTTTTGGTGGCTGGCGACTTCTTTCTGATCTTCGAACAGGAATTTCTTTGCTTGTTTGTTCATCTCTCTCTTTGTTTACTGTTTCCCTGTCAAATATCAAGTCCTCTCCTTCCTCATCACTCCCTAACATGTCCGAAAGAAGTAGGATTTGTTCATCCCTCATGTCAGGGCGATCCGTAGAAGGTAAGTCTCTTTCCTTTTCAGGTTCGTCATTTCCGGGTAAGTCTCTTTCCTTTTCAGGTTCGTCATTTCCGGGTAAGTCTCTTTCCTTTTCAGGTTCGTCATTTCCGGGTAAGTCTCTTTCCTTTTCAGGTTCGTCATTTCCGGCTAAGTCTTCCCCATACAAGGCTTCTCCATAACTCGCAATCTGATTGTCATAAGGTTGGTTATGGTCAGCATGACTGGCTGGAACAACATCGGAGATGGTGTCTGCACAAGCTGGAGCATTACCAGCCAACTTGTCTTGATCTGCAGTCACATCATCTTGACCAAGACTTGATTTATGGGTCAGCAGAAGATCTCGCTTGACAATGTACGCCGAGTCATTTGGCACTGATCTATCTGCAAACCAGTGGACTGAAACAATATCATCCTCGTCCGAGGGGTGATCTGCTCTTTCATTGTCTTTCTGAGTGGTCCGTCGCGTTCTGGGCCTTTTCTTGGGTTCTGGTTGTTCAGGTTTCACTTCCTTGGCTGCAGAGAGGAACCCACAAGGGAGTAAGAGGTCTCTGTGTAGGGTGCGTATGGGGCCATCCCCGCCCTCTGGTTTAACGGTGTAGACAGGGAGGTCTCCAGCTCGTTTCACTACCACATGGACGGTCTGCTCCCATTTATCGGCGAGTTTGTGTTTTCCTCGAATGCGTATGTTCCTGACCAGCACTCGGTCCCCGATTTCCAAGGTAGATGTGGTCACATGTTTGTCAAATCTGGTTTTGTTCCTTTCGGCTACCTTTGCAGCACTCCGTGTAGCTATTCTATAGCTCTCCTCAAGATGGGATTTGAGGTCCTTAACATATTGGGAGTGTGACTTGTTTTGTTGTTCTCTCACAGGTAAACCGAAAGCCAAATCGACAGGCAACCGTGGCTGACGCCCAAACATCAGCTCATACGGTGTGAATCCAGTTACCTCGTTCTTGGTACAGTTGTACGCATGAACTAAAGGCTTTACAAAATCCTTCCAATGTGACTTGTCTTTGTTCTCCAGAGTTCCAAGCATACTTAAGAGTGTTCGGTTAAAACGCTCCACCGGGTTGCCCCTGGGGTGGTACGGCGTAGTCCGAATCTTCTGTATGCCTGCTACTTCACACAGCCCCTTGATCAACTGAGACTCAAAATCAGGCCCTTGATCGCTGTGTAATTTTTCAGGAATGCCATAGTGTACTATGAAATGGTCCCACAGACACTTTGCGACAGTCCGAGCTTTTTGGTTCGATTTTGGGATAGCGACTGCATATTTAGTAAAATGATCTGTGATGACAAGAACATCTTTCACATTACTGCTGTCTGGTTCAATGGATAGGAAATCCATGCAGACTAGCTCGAGGGGTCTTGTCGTCATGATATTCACCAAAGGTGCAGCCTTCTCAGGTAACGTTTTCCTGCGCACACACCTGTGGCAGGTCTTTATCTTTTTCTCCACATCTGAGGACATTCTTGGCCAATAGAACCTGGCTCTGACCAGATCGAGTGTGCGCTCTATTCCCATATGACCCATATTGTCATGTAGGCTTGTCAACACAGACTCTCGCAGGTCTTCAGGTAAGACCAACTGGTAATGTTTATTACCGCCTTCTCTTCGTGTTCTGTAGAGAATGTCATTGCACAGCTCGAACCTGTTCAACTCTCTCAGCAACAGGACTACGTCTGGAAGTTCTTTCCTCAATGTGGGAGGGGGTTTCTCCCCACTCTCCATCTGGGTAATAACATGTCTGATGCACCTATCAGATCTCTGGCTGTCTCTGAGATCTGCCGGTGACAGGTGGGGAATGATGTGTAAGCCTCCCAATGTTTCTTCCTGCTCAAAGCTGTCAGGTATAGCATCTCCAGAAATGGCAAGACTTTCGACAAGGGTTATACCTGCATCATCACCCAAAGCTTCAGAGGTGGTTGAATGATAAACAAACTGTCTCTCACAGATAGCATGAACAACGTCCTGATCGACTGAGTCAATATTGTCTGGATCTGACAGATGTTGTTTTGCGAACTGGCATATCCGGTCTCTCTCTTTTTGAGATGTAAGGTCATCAGGTAGCCTGCCATGAGGACGACGCGAGAGTCCATCGGCATCTCCATTTTGTTTTCCAGAACGATACTGGAGTCTGAAATTGAAGGTAGAGAGGGACGCCAACCACCTGTAACTGGTTGCATCGAGTTTTGCTGAGGTGAGGATGTAGGTCAGAGGGTTTGAGTCTGTGACAACGGTGAACTGATTGCCATAGAGGTAGTCACTCAGCTTCTCTGTTACAGCCCACTTTAAAGCCAAAAACTCGAGCTTATGTGCTGGATAGCGGGACTCACTACCTGACAAACCTCTACTCGCATAGGCGATAACCCGCAGCTGTCCCTCCTGCTCCTGGTATAAGGCTGCTCCAAGGCCCGTAGTGCTCGCATCCGTATGAAGGATGTAAGGCAGCTTTGGGTCAGCAAAGGCCAGGACTGGAGGCGACGTTAGCTTGTCAATGATAGTCTCAAATGCTTTCTGGCATGCAGGGGTCCACCGTCCATAAAACGGCTCCTTTGGATCATGATACTGATTACTCCTCCCTTTTGATTTACAATGCTTCCTCAGTGGTGGATAACCGGACGTTAGATCGTTCAGCGGTTTCACAATACTTGAGTAGCCTTTAACAAACCGTCTGTAATATCCACAGAACCCAAGGAAGGATCTCAGCTCCTTAAGGTTCTGAGGGACTGGCCAAGTTTTAAGTGTGGCTGTCTTTTCTGGGTCAGTTTCTACTCCGTGTTGAGAAACAACATGCCCCAAGTACCGAACTGAGGACTGGAAGAACTTGCACTTCTCGGGGGACAGCTTTAAGCCACACTCCTTTAAGCGTTCCAGGACTTTCATGAGTCTGGCTTCATGCTCCTCAAGGGTTTTCGAGAAAACTATGAGATCATCCAGGAAAACAACAACTTCCTTCAGATTTATGTCTCCCATGCATCTCTCCATAAGCCTCTGAAAAGTACTTGGCGCGTTTGTCACTCCCTGTGGCATACGGTTGAACTCCCAGAAACCTAGTGGACAGACAAAGGCAGTCTTGGGCTTGTCACTCTCTGCAACTTCGATCTGATAATAGCCGGATTTAAGATCGAGTGTACTGAACCACTTGGAACCTGAGAGTGCGGTGAAGGTGTCATCCAGTCTTGGGAGGGCGTATGCATCTTTCACTGTTTGTAAGTTTAACTTACGGTAGTCAACACACAGACGTACCTGACCGTTCTTCTTCCTGACCACAACAATTGGCGAAGAGAATGGGGACTCGCTCTCGCGGATTACTCCAGTTGCGAGAAGCTCTTGCAAATGCTTTCGAACAGCCTCTATGTCGTGCGGGTGAATCGGTCGGGCTCTGTGTTTGAATGGTGTCTCATCTGATAGCTTAATGTGGTGTTTGACCTTGTCCGTCCTTCCAAAATCCAGATCAGTCTGGGCGAAGACCTCTGGCATACTGCTCAGCTTTTGAGTAATGCGGTCTTTCCAGTCAGAAGGGATGGGAGAGTCGGCAAAGTCAAATGTCACACTAGAGGTCCTGGATGGTTCACACTCTGATGGCTCACTCACAATTTGTTTGTGAGATAGGACAGTCTGTATTGCACTGAGTTCTGCAATCACACTCTTTGCTGGGATGGTAATGTCATGCTCTGACTCATTGGAAACTACTACAGGTAGCTTGCACAACTGGTTATTTGGCAAGTCAAGGAGACAGGTTTGCACCAAAAGCCCCCCAGGCAGGGAAGATACTGAAGGATATCCCAACAGGGCAGATCTCTCAGTGTAAAATTCCTTGATTGATACTGTCCCCTCAAGAACGACTGTTTTCCCAGCTGGGACGTTCACTTCATCCTTGCCACGCATCCTCACTAATCCAACGTTTTCATCTGAACCTTGCTTTTGCCGCAACTCCAGTACTTTGAGTACGGTTCTGTACCCATGAGGAATGGGATGGTAGCCCTCTGGGTTTGCCTCTCTGTACATTTCATACACTACATCAAGAGTGTTTGTTCCTATCAATACACAAGACTTCGTTAATGTCCCGGTGTCTGGGACTACTAGAGCTAGCGTTTTGACTTCTAGTTCAGCACCAAGAAAGTCTTTAGGAAAGGTGATTCCAATCTCAACATAACCCAGGTAAGGTACAAGCTGCCCATTGGCCCCTTCAACCTCCAGAAGGTCATGTAGTGGCTCTATCTGTTGCTCAGACAAATACTGGTCATAGTAGGACTTGGTGACAGTGGTCACTTGAGAACCTGTGTCAAGGAGACAACTGCACACCTTACCTTTGATCGTGACTTGACCTGTACTCTTTGTGCCTATGAGCCTCTTAGGTAGTCTGAAAGGTTGTTCTCCAACATGGGATTGCCTCAAAGTGGCCTGTGCTCTTGGTTTAGCTTGACTTCCAGATTTAGCGGGACGATGTTGACCTGCTTCAGTCCCAGTTTGCCCCACAACTGAGACTGCGTCTAAAAATCCTGGTCAGCAGATGGAGTGTTTTGCATCTCCCAAATGCGACGCTTCTCTCTCAATTGCTTCCTCTTATCAGCGACAAGAGTGGGGTCTGGGTCATTACTGCAACTTGCTGAGATGTGGCCATCCTGACCACACTTGAAGCAGTACCATGGTTTTGGCTGGGTGCTCTGCCGCAAGTTGGCAGGCTTCGCACTTGTGACCTTGATGCTAGGTGTTGCCATAGCCATCTCACGTAAATCACACTCGGCCTTGTCCTTAGGCTTCGAGCTTTTCTTCTGTTTCTTTGCCATCAAATTAGTAAGCTGACTCTGTAGGGATGCAACTTGCTTCCTCAGATCTGTCAACGGGTCAGAATCAGATTGAGTCACTGCCTGTAGCTCACTACAGGTGCAAGTCTTTTGACAGTGCGCCACAACCCGCTGCCGGGTTGAGCCAAGGTGTTTCTTCATCCGTGTAGCTTTAGCTGCCAGTCTATCTTCTTCTGTCCGGAGCATTAATAGAAGTTCTGAGAATGTTGGGGGTTGGCTTTTCTTGTTTTCAAGATTAAGATCTGAGAGCAAGGTGTGGTCCCAACATCCACGACAAAACTGCTTGAGAATGTGTTTATCGGCATCCCCAGCAGAGACTCCTCCCCTCTTCAGAGTAAGGTTCAATGCGCCCTGAAGACGGCAGAGGTACGCAGAGGCCTTTTCACCAGGATCCTGAAGAGTGTTCATGAATTGGGCGAAAAGCTCCTCTCCATCTTCCACTGTTCCAAAAGCTGCATCCAACAACTGAAGGTAAGTCTCAGGTGTAGCTTCTGGGCTCAGTCTGTTGACAATGTCAGCTGCAGGGGACAACAAGCTCTCAAAGATCTTTCTAGATTTTTGAAGTTCAGACATGGCAGGGTCTTTCCTGAGAAGTTCGACATGTGAACGCCATGTGTCATAATCTGTCTCACCGCTGGGTCTGGGGATCCTGCCAGAGAATGACCGGAGTCTCATTGGAGAATATGAATGTGCAATCAAGTCATCTTTCTTCACGATGTGTTCCACAATGACTTTCTGAATTTCAGGTGGGTTGAAACTGTTTGCCGCACTAAATGGGCTCTTTTTGAAATCAACAGGTAGGTGTGGCTCCGCACCACCTTGAATCAATCCTACCTGGGGTGGATCTTCAGAAAACTGCTGGCGTGCAATCTCAGAAGTTTCAAGAGAGGGGTGAAGCTGGTTCTCCCTGTCTGGATCATCAACTTGCATGGAGGAGAGCATACATTCATCATCGGTCTCTGAACTCCCAATGATTTCACTGATCTCTGTCATCATCGACTTCAGTACCTCTTCAAAACTTTTGCCACTCAGTTTTGCCACCTGCTTTATTTCATCTAAGTAGGACTTAGTAGCACTGCCACCCACCTTGGCAGTGTAAACGCTGGAGAGAGCTCTTACATGGTATTTTACACCGGGCTTCCCTTCAACTTCATATGTGTATGGCAAAAGATCAGTTAAGGCATCAATGGCGTTACCACTTCGGTACTCGACGATCAGGTTTTTGAAAAATTCTGAGTTTGGATCTACAACTGGGACGGCTCTAAAGGTACCATACTGCTTCAAAAAGTCAAGAACCCCTTCATCATCCGATGAATTGAGTGTACCACTAACAATTACTGCATTGGGGACTTTGATACCTGAGCTCAATACAAAATCCATCTTGTGGCAATAGCAAAAGATGTTTCAATGACAATACACACTTTAAGGAGGTTTCACTGCTGATATTCATGCACCAAAGAGCTCCTGGCTGGTTCGCCACTTTTGTAGCACTTACGTGGAGTTACATAAAGTACCGATGGATAATTACCAAAGTAATAAGCAATTTGGGCTAGTGTCAGAAGACTGAGAACGACTCTTAGAGCTCTGGTACACGAATGGCAGAGAAACCAGACAAACACAGTTATGTGGCTTTAAAAGTACTTTAGTGATGTTAAGCCTTGTAAAAGAAATTTGTAAACAACACAGTATTACAACAGGTTTTAACAGAATGTCAAGTATAAAAATTTCCCCCAAAGTAGCAAAAAAAATTAGAATTAAATAAAATTGTGCACAAGTAAAAGAATTAGTCTTTTTTAAGTCCAAATGGTACCGGTGGGGCCCATAGAATTCGTCTGACAAGGAGTGTGTGTGTGATTGTCTGTCCTACCGTACTACTTGTACAGTAGAGGATTGTAGTCCATCAATGTGCAAATGAGTGTGCGTGTACATGTATATCGTCTCCTAGGATCTTGGGTTGGCTCGCCATCCAGTGAACACTGGAACACTCTGGGTTCTGGAATCGCTGACCTGGTCTTTGGATTCGTCCCATATAAAAACCTGACCTATAAACAATGGCCAAATATATGTCACGTGCCCTTTAAGGATAACTCTCACAAATTAAACTAAAGTAGTGTCACAGTGCAGTAACTACTATTCAGATCAGCTATCATCAATTCAATCATCATCAGTTCAGTCATGTTGTACAACATTAAAATATCAAGTTTCAAAGGTCAAAGTATCAATATCCAAAATTTCACAGTATCAAGGTTCAATTATTTGTAACCTGCAGTAACATTAAAGATTATCTACAAGGTTTTAAACATTCAGGAATTATAGTCACCATATAATTCACTTTCATTGTAAACATTAATTACATCGATCAAAATAAACTCACTGTACATATATATCTAATCACAAATAAATAAGTATATTACCCCTTTTAAGAAATGGAATAATATGCAAATGCTTATCAGAAATTGAACAAAGTGCAAATAATCAATTTCAATAACACGTAAACACAAGGACTCAGTCCACAAATAGGAGTATTAAAATAGATGTGCTTAATCCCGCTTGTACCATAGGCCTACCAGTACAAGTGGAAATACACTAAAAATTACCTCCAAGTGTTCAATACTGAGTATTGTAAAACAACTGATTGACATCAAAATTTAAACAGGAAGCAGGATAAAGTCTGATTACAATTATCTCTCATAAAGTTATTTTTAGCTGCTTTAACCATTTACAGCTTTTCACATGTTAATGACTTAGTTAACGATCTAACTAGCATAACAACAGCGTTTCAGAGACATCGAACAACTGTACCCACACTCCGCACATCACGTGTCTGATTAGCCACATTTAGCTTACCGCCGTCGAGTGGATGCTCAGCATTTACATGGAGCCACAGCTCAGTAAACCCTCCGGTTTCGCTCTGCCCGATAACAAAAGTGCAAATACATAATTTGTGAAAAATATCAGTTTAGATGGTATTTCTTTTAACTCGTTAGAGGTTAATTTCTCCAGCTTACCGATAACAAAAGTTTTAGTCCGTCTGCTCTGTTCGGCTGTAGAAGCAAGAGACTGAAAACTTGGGAGCTGGTACTAAGGAGGGACAAGAGCTGCCTAGAGCTTCACCGATTGGCTGACATGTGAGGAGTGGAGTAAAACAATAGGCTCTCATCAGAGCTCATCAACCCTCTGAGAAACTTAACCCTTGTTTGACCAGAGCATATCATATATAATCTGCATCCCTTCTATGTTTAAATAATTATTTTGATCTCATTTCACTTTCATTAACCGGGACAGTAAGAACAGAACAATGAACATTAAATGTTTTAATTTTTCTTCTCTTTCTGTTTGAGATGATTTTAGGAACTGGGTTACTCACAGCTTCTCCCTCTATCACAGTAACAGCAGGACTCTCCAGGACCACAGAACCAGCTGATAATTAGTCATGGATGAGATATGTTAGCTATTAAATTCATGGACAATTAATCACAAAATATTCTTGTCTTTGTGCAAACATACCAGTCACAAAGGTGGTCAGAGGGCCCGGTGGCGCCAGTGTCCGGCAGCCTTGTCTCTGTTAGTGCGCCCCAGGGTGGCTGTGGCTACAATGTAGCTTGGTATCGCCAGTGTGTGAATGTGTGAATGACTGAATGTAGTGTGAAGCGCTTTGGGGTCCTTAGGGACTAGAAAAGCGCTATACAAATGCAGGCCACTTACTGATGTCTCGTTTCTGCAGCTCAGAGTTACATCTTCTCCCTTTATCACAGGAACAGCAGCAGTCTCCAGGATCAGAAAACCAGTTGAAAATCAATGTGTTGTTTAATTAAAATGTGTGTTTGATTATGAAAAATCATTGCTTACTAAATTAAAACATACAGTGATGTTTCAGGGCGATCCTGTTGCTGTTTTGTCATTAATGTAGCTGCATGATTTTATATTCTCTTTTAATGTATGTACAACAATATAATGAGAGACCCCCGTCATAGTAAAAAGTTCTCGGCTCATACTTAAAGAGCTGTGATCTGTTTGGAACAACAAAGCGAAGCTGCAGCTGAGATTAAGAAAAGAAGAAATTTATTTCAGTTTTATTTTTGAATAAAAGAAAAAAAAATCAAACTACACATAGTAAAATAACAAAATACATATCAAATTTCCATTGATTAAAGCCCCACTGTGTGTATGTGTGTGAAATACAATAAGGCCCATTTGGGAGGCTAACCTAAGAGACAAAGTGCCAGAAATCTGCCAGTAGAGGTGTGTGCTGGGACTGACAGATGGTTTTAGGTTCGGAGTCACATTACATCAGGTTGATTTTCCTTTGACTTTCACAGACCACAGTGTGATCGGCAGTGAGAGCAGAGCAGATGTTGATGAGTTATCTTCAAAGTGAAAATAAGGAGTGAAAAAGGGTATTTGTAGAAACAGCAGATTAACCAGTTCATTTCTTCAGACTGTCACTATTACCAGCAAAATGAATGAATCAGTGAATTGTTCATCAGCTACATGAAGTATGATGAGTGTGATAACTGGTTTCATTGATCTATTTCTCATCATTGCATGAACAGTTTTCTGTTTCATGACAGTTACATTTGCACATAGGTGAACACAAGTTAGAAAGTCTGAGCTAGACCAGCTGTCAGTGAGGAACAGCAGCAGAGCCACAACTATGAAAACAGTGTGTAAGATGAGGTGAATGTGACAGCTGTGCTCTGAGGCGTGGTGTCTCTGAATGTTTCTGCAGAGATTATTTAATATGTATAAAAGACAAAGGTGGATTTAAATGTGTTTTTCTGATCAGAATATATTGAACATAGTTTTTACGTGCAATAATATTGCCTGTGTTCGGGCTGCCCCCTGCAGTATATCAACTAGCAATACAAGACTGACAGAAATAAACACAATTTGACACTGAGTGCATTTGGCTAATATATCAGCCAGTTATTGAAATTAAAATTAAACAATTCTATATGAAAATCTTTATTATCTTTATATAATTATATCTGTTTGACTTTTTAATTTCAATTATTGAATGTGAAAACAGAAAGTCACAGGTCGCATATTTATCCACAAACACAGCATAGAGTCACAGACCATGATGCATCTGCTTCTAGAAATATAGCAAACAACAACAAAAAATGAATCAGTGAACTGGTAAGCAAAAAGACACATGATGTAAGAAGCATGATGGTAACATAATTGTGACAATCAGGATCTGATGCGTGGCCTCTCTGAGCCTCTGTGTAACTGGCTGCAGAAATTACAGAAACTAATGCATGGAATGGAATGGAATCGAATGGATGTAAAAAAAATGTTTGGAGATTTGGTTTTTGTTTTGTTTTGTTTTTCTCTTCCTGCAAAGAAGCAGAATCAGTCAGAGGACTCTGTCAGTAAACAAAACACTTAAGATTTATAGCTAGATGTGATCAGATTGATTGGGCAGAACAATCTCTCTTATCTTTACTCAAGAGGACAATTTAAACAGGACAATGAAACCACATATAACTGAAATTTTGCCACATGCCCACAGGCACGGGAGTTTTAGAGTTTAATAAGGCTGCAGCACGTTGTAATACCAACAGTAACCACTAGATTGCAGCAGAGGAAAGGTTTTTTCCTTCATTACATAATAATGAGTGCTTTTCCACAGATCCACATCAACAGAGGCGCTAAAGAAACTGCATTGAAACTGCATTAGTATTGTATTACTCAACACTTGTGTTAAGTAATACATGTTCATATGTGTCCATATTTATACTATTCAACCAATGCTGGTGCATCAGTACAGCTATAACTGTTTACATTTCTTTAAAACAAGCTCATTTTGAAAACAGCTCCTGGAGGTTTTACTTGTCAGTCCAGTGTAGTGCCAACGGTCCAGTCTTTAACTCACCTGGTTCAGGTACAGCCTCAGGCTGGCATTGGGGGCTTCAGCATACACAGTATCTTTATTTGTAACATACTGGCACATAGATGGTGAAGCAGAAGGGATGTTTTTATCATGAAACACAATAATGTCTAAATTTCAAGAGTTCATTTAATAAGAAAAAGAGTATTGTTAATCCTTTCCATAGTTACATTTTCTGCTATCATGTAAACATATTAAATATGCTTGATGAATTAGTACCTTGTTAAAATCCATATTGATAACATATTATAATCCATATTCATCATGAAATATGCTGAAGGTTTTTATCCTCATACTGATAATTAGCCTATGAATTATAAGCTTACTATAAATATTCAAGCAGAAAAGAGCTGAGCAGCACCTCTCTGCATCTTAATCAATTCCTCTTCTCAGAGACACAGTCTGACCTAAAAAATTAGCCTGTTTTCTTTGACTCTGCTGAACAGTTTCTGTGTCAGCATGAAACAAGCCACCAGTTATTCAGTCTGTGCACTACCACACATACAGATATTCTCAGTAGCAAACTTTGCAGGTGTATTTCACTGCTGACCACAAATTTGGTTCATCTGTTTTGGAAAACAAAGCAATGCGACATATTCACATCAGCAGTTGACCACAATGAGAACCTGCTGTTTAGAAGAAATGAGCTGCAGCAGCTTTTTTCTTTTGAACAACATTCATGTACAAACAAAAAGAGCAGAAGCAACAAGTGCTTTAAATGCAACTTCTAAATAACAGACAGAAGCGTTTGCTAGCATGTGAATTTATTGGTACTTATAGTTCTTTGTAGTTCAGTTATATACCCAGCAGATGATGTAGAGCTTGTTCATTTGCAATAACAATACAGGCAGTGCAGAATTATTAGGCAAATGAGTATTTTGTCCACATCATCCTCTTCATGCATGTTGTCTTACTCCAAGCTGTATAGGCTCGAAAGCCTACTACCAATTAAGCATATTAGGTGATGTGCATCTCTGTAATGAGAAGGGGTGTGGTCTAGTGACATCAACACCCTAAATCAGGTGTGCATAATTATTAGGCAACGTCCTTTCCTTTGGCAAAATGGGTCAAAAGAAGGACATGACAGGCTCAGAAAAGTCAAAAATAGTGAGATATCTTGCAGAGGGATGCAGCAGTCTCAAACTTGCAAAGCTTCTGAAGCGTGATCATCAAACAAGCTGGCAAGAAAGGGTATAAAAGAAGAAAAACTAATGACATGGCCTCCTTGTTCACCTGATCTGAACCCCATTGAGAACCTGTGGTCCATCATCAAATGTGAGATTTCCAAGGAGGGAAAACAGTACACCTCTCTGAACAGTGTCTGGGAGGCTGTGGTTGCGGCTGCACGCAATGTTGATGGTGAACAGATCAAAACACTGACAGAATCCATGGATGGCAGGCTTTTGAGTGTCCTTGCAAAGAAAGGTGGCTATATTGGTCGCTGATTTGTTTTTGTTTTCTTTTTGAATGTCAGAAATGTATATTTGTGAATGTGGAGATGTTATATTGGTTTCACTGGTAAAAATAAATAATTGAAATGGGTATATATTTGGTTTTTGTTAAGTTGCCTAATAATTATGCACAGTAATAGTCACCTGCACACAGAGATATCCCCCTAAAATAGCTAAAACTAAAAACAAACTAAAAACTACTTCCAAAAACATTCAGCTTTGATATTAATGAGTTTTTTGGGTTCATTGAGAACATGGTTGTTGTTCAATAATAAAATTATTCCTCAAAAATACAACTTGCCTAATAATTCTGCACTCCCTGTATCTGATAAATGTGGATTACATCATCGATGTTAATTTCTCTCAGATGTGATTTTTGTCTTCATTCATCTCTTTTTGAGACCTGTCAGATATACACGAAATACAGATAAAAAATGTTATTTTCTTTAAAGGATAGAGTAAATTTGGAGATTGTAGTTCGTGTTACACACCAAAATCAATTTCACAGGGCAGCTAATTAACAAACATGATTTTTTTTTGCCATGAACAATCAGTTTTATTAATATTGCCAGTATTTAATATTAACCACACATCATATATTACATATTATCTAAATGCAACAGAATCATATATCAAAGTTAATCTTACCTTTGAGTTCAGTCTCACCCGTGGGTAAGGTGTAGTGTAGTAAGATAAGATAAGATAAAACTTTATTAATCCTCTGGAAAATTCGGTAAATGGCAGAATAAAACACGTCATCATCTAACGGAGAGATATTGAGAGGACAGACGACCACAATACTAATTTGGAATCTTTGGAAAATCTGACAATCAAAGGAACATAATGTCACTATTACATCCGAAAACTTTTTCTGCCGTTTCATTTTAATTACATAAATATCAGCTCTGCTGCTCTAAACAGTTTCTTGATTTTTACCCTGTAGTTCATTAGCATTGCTAGTCAAGCTTTAGTGTTGTTTTCCTTTTCCTAATATCACTTTAAATTAATAT